TCAGATTAAAGCATCAGGACATACAGCAAATTTATTATCTTCACCAGAAGATTTCTTTTCTCTAACATCTTGTTTCTGTTCCCAATATATGGGGTGAGAAATTACTACAATCAATTTCCATATTTCTAAACAGCTTTTCTCACATCCTACTCACATTCAAACTGTATAAATTTTGAGTTCAGGACAAAATTTAAAGCCCAGTGATGCTTTTGAGTGTATTAGTAAAATTCAAAAAGGCAGTGCAACCAACAGACTTCAGTTTGCACAGAATACAAAAATGAGCAAAATTTTCTGCCAAAATGTAGACTTGTGAAACCAATAGTTTCTTACTACACTTTCAAATTTGAAGCCAACTGTCTCCATATGGCCTGCAAAAGAATCCACAAAACTGGGAGTGAATTTCGGGCACTAAAAATGTAAAGTATTTAGCTATGGGCTAGTAATAACATTAAAACCTTAAATTTTACTATTGGTAAACTCAAGCATTCATGAGGTTACTCAAAACTGTGAATAAGGTCATATTATTTATGGTCAACACTTTTGATTTTGATAGAATCTTAAAATTTCATGTAGCCTAAATGTACTCCATCAACATACTTATCTCATAAAAGCTTTTTTTTTTGCATCAGCTCATATGCTAGTTACATTAACTTACTATTTTGCAATCACTGAAAAAAAAAATTTTGATCTGCATTGAGATCCACCTTCACCATGCTCTGCACTAGACAACCTGCCCACAGAAAGCACAACCAGGAACTTGTCAGACAGTAGTTGTGCATATAATTACTTCTCTTGATGAAGCACAGGAATCATTTTAATTAAGTATTTCACTCTTCTTACAGAGGAGTTTAATTCCTCTTATAGAAATGCAGAAGTGTAGATTTAAAAGAAAATCTTACAAAACTGTAGGGAAATCTTGTTTAAGGCCTCCATGTTGAGAAGGCTTAAAGAACTGACAGAACCCCAGAGATTTCTGCTCAGGAGTTCCAGGACTGTTGCCTTTGCCCCTTCACGGCTGCCATAAGTGACAGCAGGTGCTCAACAGGACTCAGGCTATTTCAAAAACCTGCACTCACCTGGTATTTATTTACTTATGCCACTTTCTTCTCTTTGATAGAAAAAGAGCTAAAGTATCACTGTAGATCTGGAATCTGAAGCCCCTTACTCCTGCAATGGCAGGCTTTGTGTGGGGGAGGGAAATAAGCCAGCATTTTTACTAAAGGAAGGAAACGGCCACTATTATCAGCAAGACAGATCCACAAACTGTTAAATGAAAGGTACACAGCAGTTAACTGAAAGACTTCCAGAGCTCTAGGAAAATAATACCTAATGAAAACAATAGCAAGTAAGAGTTCACTTGTGTAAACAACAAAAACAACCCACAGACTACAGGCTGTGAGAAGCAAGATATCAACAGGGCTAAAAAAACAACTGACCTAACAAATGTTAAGTTTCCAGCATCTGCCTAGGACAGAAGAGTGACATCATCTAGACATTATAATCCCATATCAGATTTTAGACTTCATTTTTCTATACAACAAGTCAGAGTCAATCCATGGGAATGAATCACTGCCAGCTCTCCAGACATTATCTTTAGGGAAGCTGTTTGTTATTTGTTAAAACATTGAAATACCTTGTTTTAGATTCAGACAGGAAATCAAGCAGGAGCTAAGATTTAGATAAAATTTAAAAGGTGGGTAGTAAACTTGTGGCTACAGCAAGGAAAAATTATTATAGTTTAAAAGAGACAAACGAAAGAAAACCAGAGAGATTGCATTACATATAAAACTTCTATTTTAGAAGAATATCTGTCCAAGTGCAATATTTATCATCACCAGCTAAAGCAACACAGCCTGATGTTAGAGAAATCTATAAAACATGCCTCTTGTGATGTTTTCTAGTGGAAAATATAATTTGGCACTTGCTACAGAATGAGTTCAACATCCCTGCATCATATTATTTTTTGGCTTGATTCCTAAATTGTTACATCTGGAGAAACAGCAAGAGATCTTGTTGTTGCTCCTTGATGCAAATAATCCTTCCAAAGGACTGTGAAGACACCGGTTACCATGTAAGACTTTGGAGCACAGGGATAATTCTAGGTACATTGACAAATTCTTGCTGAGCACATTTCTCCGTCACACAACACAGACTAAAAATGGAGAGACTTTTATTCTTCCCAAAAAAGGGCTCTGAAATTTTGTTTTCTTTCACTGTTTAAAAGACAGTGGGGCATATGCTATCTTTCATGATATACACAATTACTATTAAAAGGTGGAAGCTGGAGACTCTTCTTGAATAACTTTCTGCTCTAATCAGTTGATGCTTACAATGTTCATGTCGACTCAGTATGTAAGTTTTCACCTTGCAAATTAGCATTATGTGGTTTCTTATAGGATTATTGCAAATAGGTCCTACCATCTATCAACCAAGAGCAGAAGACTGATCTTCAAATCAAGCAGCTCTGAAGAAGTTCCAGAGGGTTTTTTTTGATACTTGGTGTCTTCATTAAGGATACCCTATTTTATCTTCTGGAATAGTTTTTTTCTGTGAATCTTCCAATGACAAACCTCATCTAGTACTACCTGTCTAATTTCAATGAGATTTATCTAAAGCACCTTGAAACAAATCAATAAAAATGAGCTGTCAAAATTTTATGCTGATTAATTAAAAAGTAAAAGAAAAAAAAATGTTTAAAATCTAATTATTTAAGAAACTAGCAAATAGCCGAGCTATAATAAAGGGTTTTGGATGTTGATAAGGCCTATAAATATGAGAATTCCTTAAATACTGGATTCCTACTAAACTTTCAGAAAACTGCAGCAGTTGCTGCATTTGCAAATGCACAAACCATTACTACTACACAGGAAAGATCAGAAGGTTGCAGAACAGCAAGACTCCAGATCAAAATAAGGCTGCACTTTTGCAGTGATCTTTCCAATTGTTCATAAACTCCACCAGCTCTGTTTAATAAAACATTAACTCGATGCTCACAGTTCTACCATTCTTCACGTATTCAGGTCAGGGTCCTCCAAGCCAAATGGTTCACAGTTATCTGGAGACCCCCAGTACAAGGTCAGGTGTGACCTCACAGCACCCAGGGAAAAGGAGAGAGAACCACTGTGCACTACACCTGCATCTCATTGTACAACATCCCACACATCACTTAGTTCTAATGTTCAGAGGTCCAAATCTTTCCTATCTGACAGGGTAACCAGTATGCCACACCTCAAAGGCATCACAAGCTTGCTAAAGCAGTCCTAAAGTATAAACTGCTCATTCCATTTCATCAACTGATGACATATGAATAACATGTTAAAAATACTCTTAAATGTTTTATTCTCCAAATCATTAAGGAAGATGTGGCTGAAGAAAAACACAACTGTAGTGCTGTAAAATTTGCAGTACACGCAGGTGAACAGGCAATAAACTAAAACCAAAACTAAATGAATTCAAGATGACTCAGCTTCAGAGATCTTTTTATTACATAATAATCTCAGCTTTCCAGTCAGGGAAAAAAAAACCAACCAAACAAACAAGTTGTGTTCACTAAAATGAAAGGTTTTTAAAAAAAACCCACCCAGAGCAAAGAACCATGCACAAATGCAAACAAAAAAAATCCCACTCACAAACCCAAAACAGAACAAAACATAGACATGCAAAACCCCCTGAAGCCCAAACTCTACAAAAAAGGACACTGTCCACCAAGACTTGAGAACCAGATGACAGATAAGAAAGACAAAAGATTTAGTATTTTACTTTCATTAGGTGGGGATGTGGAACAAAGTCTCCTTCAAGCTTTTTTGCATACTGGCATTAGCAACACTGCAATTCACTTGGAAAAAAAGCTCAGTCTGACAACACCAGGCAAAGCTGAAGAGCAGAGCTCAGTGTGAGAGTTTGAGTCAATTTTCCTGAAAAAGAATCTTCAAAATCCACATGTAACTAAAGTGTCCCATTGAAATGGTATCATAGAACTGAATGTTCTTAAAATTATTAAAAAATATTTTGGCCAAGCTTAAGGACAGGGAGGTGCTAATGTTTTTACAGTCTTGTGTTCGACCTTGTCAACAGCTACAGCAAAGTCATCCAAAATCCACTGAATTCCAGAAAAGCCTGACCTACCTACTGCATTGAAAAATCATCCCATTGAAAAAGCATAGGTTACAAAGACAGGCAGGCATTTGTGTCTTTTCTTTTACAAACCTTTCAACAAAATATGAAAAAACCACCCCATAAAACAAAAAAATCTAAACCACAAACCAAAACAAAACCGACCAATAAGGTATTTTCACTAAAGATCATGCTTTCTGTCAAATAATAAGGGTGATTTGCAGCACAGAACATAATTTTACCATTTTACAAACAAAGAACAATTTCTACAAAATCTACAGACACACAATCATATGTAGTGTTGCAAAAAGAAACCAGCACTATTCTTTCTTCTTTATTTTCAATAGCGTGAATGCAGAAAGTAGTAACATAGCTTTCTGCCACTAAGAGGAAGTATTAACAAAACACTGATTGTTTAGTGCATTGCTTTCAGGGAATACCAGCCATTCAATCTTCGATGTAAAGATGTTATCTAGCTTGGTAAAAAAATAGTATATGAAAAGTGAATACATCCTTGGGGATTCAACAGGCAAGTCAGCAGAATTTCCCTTCCAACAGAGTGGAATAACTGTTTCCAAAACATTTATTTAGTTTTAAGGTGGTATATTTAAAGATTAAAAGCTGTTGTTTAATACTCAGAAGTCCACTTTGGTTGAATAAAAAATTACTACTACTAAATCAAGCCATGCAAAGTAAAATTAAAAATTTCAGGCATTTTATATACAGAAGAAACTCATGTAAGGTAATAATCCCTGATCTTCAAGTAAAAATCTCACAGACGTACAAACACTCTCATGCACTATAAAGATTCACTACTTGGTTTTACAAAAAGAAATCCAAAACCACTTGAGATTACAGCAAACAAATAAAAACAAATGTTGTCCCACCTTCTCTTTTATAATTCTGTCCTTGGTCCACTGTTTACATTTAAGTCCTTTCTTTTTCCGTAGCCAAGATTTTCCTTTTGTTGCTTTTACAATATTCCGAAGAACCATCCTTAAAATATTCTTCATGTGGACAGTTGTAAATAGCAGTGAATATAAAAATGTTGTGTAAAGCTAAAACCTAGTAACAGTTTCTGTGCAACAGCTACAGTGAAAAACTACTTAAATGGAGTATTTTTGGTCTACTGGCACATGAATTTAGCCAGTAATGACGAGCAGTGATAAGATGTTCTAAAGAAACAAGACAGGCCACAGTTGTGACAGGAACAAGATAGGCTAGATCAAGTTTCACCTAATTAGGCAAGGTTGCAGTAGGGAGCTCTGTTATCCTCTCATTGTGCAATAGTAGTCTTTGTTGCTATTATAATAATGACAAACAGTATTTATCTTAAATAAACTTACATGTAAGGCTCTGACTGTCTCAAAAGACCCAGAAGTGATTTTCCTGCTGAAGGGGGCAATGACAGGAGCAGAAGTCTTAAGAGCAAACGATCCTAACAATTGTCAAAAGACATTTCCATGACACATTTTCTTAAATCAAAAAATGTTTTAAATGGAACAACCAGTTTAAAAACAACACCACCATATTGTTATGCCTAAAAATACTATAGTTCAGGCACTACTCCATTCTTGGCAAAGTCTGTCTTCTTGCTGGACATAATTCAAGCAGCAGAGAATATAAACTGTAAACTATGTTTCTGACTGTCTCATCATGTCAAGGGACAGCAAATGTTTATCATCTTTCCTGTCAACACTATACAGGATCGGATGTGGGGAACAGGCAGTGCAATGGCACCAACAGTGCATTCAGCCCTTACCCTACAACTGCAGGAGCAAAGCTTAATTCTCCAGCCTGATCTATTCCCTTCCTAGAGCAAATGGAGAGGAGGGACCCAAGGGTAAAAACAAAACAAAAACAAACCCAAACAAACTGACCCACACTATGAAACATCAGCAGAACCAGACAACCCATCTCTCTCAGAGCTGAGCCACATTCTGTGTAGCACGTCGCACATTAACTGCAACACCAGAAAAGTATGAAGCTCTCAATTTCGCTTGTGAGCCACAGCATTTTTACTTTACCCTTCCCTACCAGCAGCAGCAGAGCAGACAAAGCTAAAGAGATACTTTAAGTAAAGTGCTTCCAAATTCAAAATCAGTACTGTCCTCCCAAAACACATTTTGTCACTAACAAAAACATTCTGATCCCATGCAGTATTCTTCCTTCCTGCTCAGCAAACATGTACCACGTTGAGAGATTTATTGAGAATATCATTGGTAGAATAGTGTGAGATGTTTAAAATGCTGCAACTTAAAAAAATTAACCTATTAGCAACTAAGCACATTTTAAATAAATAAGAAGCTCAAGGTTATTTCTTAAAAGGGAAGGGTTGTTTTGATTTAGGAAGGATGGAAAAAATTTAATCTGGTTGTTCTCCAAAACCAGATTGTATCTTGATCTGCCAGAAAAACAAACTATCACATGAATAAATATTTGAGAGGAAAAGCTGGGCCTGTTTTAACACATATTGTACCACTCTTTCAACCATGGCTATGGTCTGAATTCTTCTAAACTGTCCCCCAAACTTAAAAAAGCCAGACTTAGGAAGGCAAGACAGACATGCAGCCCAGCAGTATATGGGAGGGTCAAACACTAAAGCCTGTCATTGGATAATTGGGTTCTTTCAAAAGAAGAATAGGAACTAAAATAAACACGTGTCACTGAATTTCCCTTTCATCCTGTCATCCCTCCTGAAATAACTGAAAACATCTGTGTGTAATTTGTTAAATCAGATAAATAATAAACCCAATACAAACACTGGGTAGCCCCTTATGTTTCATGGAAGTATCATCTCCACACTGAGTACCTCATCCAGTGCAGGCATTTGGCTGCTTCAGAACTGTTACTGTCAGATAGGTAAATAAAAATCTAGGGTATATGTAGAGAGATAAAGATACCAGTCTCTGGTTGTTTAATGTATCAGCCTCAAAATCCTAAATTAAAGAAAGAAGAGTATTTTCCTCACTAAAATTTCAAGAAGTTTTGAATGTTCTAAATGAAGAAGATACATGCTCTATTTCACTGACATAAGTTGTTTTCCTACATTAAATGCAAAAAAATCCCATGAAAGATCCAAGAAGGTTTTCCCTGTGTGACAAAGCTCCTATGTAACAAATCTATACACCTGCAGATTATGTAAATCATTCAGGAGGAAATGAATTGCAGTCTGTGATCCCACTAAAGTACTTTAATATGAAGACACTCGTGATCTCTGAAAACTACATGGAATGACGTAGGAAAAAAGGATATAAAGGCAAATTCAAAAGTGTAATTCTCTAAAATGTATACAGCTTTGCATCAAATGTCTACACAAAATAGAAAATTACTGAATATAAAGCTAGAGATGAAAACTGATGGGTGTAAGCAGCTAAGAATACTTAGAGAACTAATGAACAAGTAAGAAGAAAAGAGCTCAGAAGGAATATAACACCATACTGCATGCAGAGTAGCAATAACTTTAAATTCGTTTTAATAACTTTTGTTTTACTTTGCCAGCCTGTTTTGATCTTTCACTATTGTCACTTCTCTCCTTTTGCTATATAAGCTATATTATAAATGACGAATGTGCAAATGTAGAATTTATTTAAACATACCTAACTACAAATATGCATGATTACACAGAGGCTCTCTAAGCTAAGCTTTTCCATATTTGTGGAAAATTAATCTAAACAGACACCTTAGTATTACATCCAGATGAAAATTAACTTCTTATAATTTGCATCGAAGGTTTAAAAAACCCAAACATGTTAGGAATTTTTTTATCTATTCTCTTTCTGTTTCTACAGTAGGATCAATCAAATATCAATGGATCACACTAGAAAAAGTAAAACAAGCAAACATGAAAACAAAACCCCATCAACAGTAACAACAAAATCAATATTTTCACAATCATTGTAAATTAATAACACGTAATGAGACAGGTACCTAGGTTTACATATCACTTTCACTTCAAACTGACAACCAAGTTTATGCATTTCTTAAACTTATTGCACTGAGGTAAAAACACGATGTTCCATTACACTAAGAACTGTACACTTAATAACCCACACAGAGAAGGAGTTTTAGGGAGCATATTTCCTTTTTCCCATATGAGGCTGGAATGTATGATAGGGATTTTACAATCCGCTCTCCCATGTTCGAAACACAGTGGCACCCCTAAGCCCACAAGAAACCAGACTGCTTATTCCAGTAAGACTGTGGACTTTAATATATAAAAACATACAGATCTACATAAAAACATTCATATTTCTGCTTTCTTTCACGTATTTGAATACATCTCGTCTCACAAGAAAACTGCATTACTTAACAAGAAGAATTACTGAAAAACTTTGTTCCCCACTTCGGGTGGGGAGGGAGGAAGAAAAATTCAGATATATCAGAACACTCATCCCTGAGCACTGGAAGAATATAGGCTGTTGAAACCTCAGTGCTTGAAAAATTTCTAAATCATTGGAGAGATAACAAGAAAAAGCTGACCAAAAGCTTTTTCCTGCTCGGAAAAGATAAGGGCAACTACACGCACGATCCAGATCAAGCTTACTTGTAATTTTGTGTCAAAGCTTCTCAGCCCTTCAGAACTCAGAGAACAAACTGAGCAGTATTTGGTAGCTTCAGATGGCTGGGGGAAGGGAGCAGCAGCAAATGGGGGTAATCCAGTAATGCCTTGAGGACTCAAATCACAAAGATTTGTCAGGTTGAATGTTATAAAACACCCAGAAACACAAAAATACCATATTAGAAACACTGTACAGTAAATCCTCTGATTTAGTGTGTCTTATGTCCCTTAAAGTGCTTTTTGAGCTTTATAATTTTGTGCCTTATAATTTTGAACCATAAACACAAAAATCTCTCTATCAACATATTCTGAAGGTAGGTACACATGAAAGTGGATCCAATTCAAAAGTACTTTATGTTTAGCTAAAATGAGCAAAAATAAAATACTTGATATATAAATTAAATTATTCGGATATAAGTATTGAATTGGATTTCAAAATCATACTGGGGTAAATAGAACAGTTTATAGTTTAAACAAAATTTAAACTGATTTAAACCTCCTTCATGACTTTACCTCCTATCACTTTGACAAAAACAAATACTATTGCTCTCCACCATCTGGGTGGAAGGGGGGAAGTAAAAATAAAGTACTGCAGTCAGGAATTTGGCAGGAAGAGAGCACTGCAAACAAGACTTAAAATTTGTTTGAGTGTAAAGCTTGGATATGTATAGCACCTTCCCATATCCAACAAGCCCTTGCTGAAGTGTTAATAAATAACAATAAAATGACAGCTATACTGTACTACTAGTACATAAAAAAAATATTCAGAAAAAGGACTGAAAATATTTCCAAGTGGCATGGGCTAGAATAGACTCAAATCCATGTGATATGGTTTTAAAATAATTGCATTCATCCTGACATGATTTAAAAGTGTAAAGGAGGTCAACCATTACAGATCTTTTTTCCACAATCAGAAGTATGTGATTCAGACTTGCAGCTAAAATTGACTAAAACTTAGATGACTTGGGACAATAAAACAGTACATTAAGAAATTAAGCATCAGGCGTGCTGAGACATTCAGAGCTGCATGCAGAGATGAAGCTGCACACAGAGAAGAGTTTCATAGTTTATTTTTACAAGACACTGTTCCAAGAACTCAGTCATCTCTCAAAGTATACCTGCAGTCCAACTGTTTGGTGCCTGAATAGTAATTAACCCGTTCACTAGCCTGAAAAATCATTCAAAATTTCAATTCCAAGAACTTGCATTTTAAATACATGGCAGTAAAATCTAACCACTTCTCTGAATAGCAATTTTAACACTAAGAACCTGGTTTGACTACTTTGACATATATATTTGAATAAGTCAGGTATCTAAAACACCCATGTAGTATAAAAATTATCTTGTAGGATTTGCAAGCAATGGCTTCACAGATGCTTTCTCAGATGCCCAAACAAGTTAGTTAAGCTGAAAGTGGGTAACAGTTAAATACCACTGGTTGAACTGTTTAAACTTGCTGGCATACTAGTTTCCTATGCTGTCCATACCATCACATGGTTTATGCTCTGGCTATCACATTATTCTCTCTATGAAACACTAACAGCCTACCAACCATTTTACAGACATCAATTATACCATGACAATGTGAAAATACCTTCTCCTTACACTTTATCTTTTCAAAGGAAGTGAGTGAGATATAAGAAACATTTATGAAAGACAAACTATGACAACTTTTGGGATTTAAGTAATTTGAAAACCCCTCTGCCTAGGTAGAAAAAAATCAGGACATATTTTTGACCACCACCCTGATTAAGATTTCAGAAAATAGTCAGATACACTTTCTGAAGCATGTTTGTTTATAAGTAGTAAGCATGGGGGAAGGAGGAGGAGGCAAGAAAAAATAAGTTGAATTATGTTGAAAGCACCATTAGTACGTTGAAAGTATCACCTGCAGAGAAGCAGTAAGAACACCAACAGGTGCAGCACTGTCTTGAAACATAAATTAGACAAATTGCATTAGGAAACAGGATTAGAAAAGGATTTTCTCATGCAAAAATGCATTAAAAATATATCTTCTCAACTAAAACTGCACTTGTTACTATAAACTAAGACTTTACCCAGCTTCTAAGAGAAACGAAAAAAAAATTAAAATTATGCAGGTAAGCCCGTACTTAATGGTTGTGGTAAACCTTGCCAATCTCAAACCACTGTTTCTTTCCCTTTAAACACCAGAGAGCTACGCAGGCAAGACTTTACTCCACACCTTAATGCAGCTCTGTCAACTTTTTTCATCTAATATGGGAACTCTCAACAATTCTCAGCTATTCCCCTTAGTAGGTCTGGACAGACACATTTTGCATTTAAAGAGAACAAGGCTTACTGGTCTCCCAGTGTCCAACTGGCTCCCGAGAGATTAGAACACAGAATTAATTCAGATGCTAGTCAATGCACTGTACTTATGAGCATGGGATTTGGGACTGGAGAGACTCTCCTAGATTAGCCTAGCAGAGACCTTAGAAACTCACTGTTTACTTGTTCTGATTTCAGAGAGCAGGGAAGTTTAGCTGCTTTGCCATTTTGGACGTAGATGTAGATGCTCTTGGCATGAATCCATCTCCCCATCCATATTCATTCACCACCATGGAGTCATTTCACTCTACAAGATCCAAACCTAAACTGATAAAACTGATTACATCCTTCCTGCAATCTACACACTTCTGCCCTTTCTTGTGCTGGTTCCAGTTCTTATCTGACCCTGCACAGAGTCAGTTTCAGTGTGCTCAGCTGGCAGAGAAGTATCCTGGAGGGGAAAAAAAAGAGGAAACAAAAGAATGAAAAAAAAAAGTAAAGGCAAACAACTTCCTGCTGAGTTTGCAGACAGCTCAGCACAGAAACAGATAAATACCAGAGAGAGCCCATACAAGAGAGAGAGCAGCAGGGATGCAGGACATCAGCAACCCCTGCAGTTACATCCACTTCACCTACACAAAACTGAAGCTTCAGTGTCTTCCCCCATTCTCAATTTATAAACAAAAGTTTAATCATGTGAACACTGAAATCCTTTTGTCAGACTTAGACATAACGATACATGGGTTAAATACAGTGTGTGCAATATATGCAAGTTTAGATGAGATTGCTTCCTGGTGGAGTTGGAATTCCTTAAATAAAGTATTTTATAGCTACAGACTCTTCACACATAAATAGAATTCTGCTGCTAAGCAAAGCAGTGAACCGGAAACTAAAACAAAAATCTTAATTGTACTTCCACTACCAAAGAACTAGGCTAGCATACACTATGAACCTAGAGAATAAGGAAATCATGGGCAGAAATTGGAAAGAATGCACTACTTCAAAGTGAGGGGTGGGAAATGATGACAGACTAGCAACAGCCAGTTAAGTTTTGTTGGTTTTCCATTTTTTTGTGTCCCGGCTTTATATTTGTTTCTTAAGATTTCCTCAAAGACCACATATTTTACCAAAAAACCAATATCCCTTACTTTTTCCCATTTCGGATAAAATGTAAAGTGTTACTAGGTATGCAATAAAGATGTGGAAACTGGTGAAACCATAACTTATCTCTGAAGTAACAACATTACCACACTGCAGAGACTTTATTTTCACCTCAGTGCTCTATTCACCTGTTCAAAATACATTGCCTGGGGTAGAGCTCCACAATAAACTCAACTGAATAAACAAAAATACTCGAAAAAAGAGAGATTGCACTTGCCCATCCCCTTCTTTGTTATCAACCTTAGCCAAGCAGCCTGCTCCCTCCTGCACCAACATGGACAAGGCAAGAGTCAATGCAATATACACACACATACATGTATACACTCACATATCTACCCACGTGTACACAAATCTCTTTCATGTTCTTTGGGTACAGCTGTTTTTACATTTTCAGTGAGCTGGATGAGACAAGCAGGGCAGTCCATTCACAGCAAATGGTGGGAATGAGCAGCAAGGAAAAGGAAGGAGCCTCTTCCAGAGCTGCAGGAAATGGTTAACCCAGCTCATCCCTATTGTGAAACCTCAGCCCCCAACGGAATCAGCTGCTCTGACATCCTACTGCACCACAATGACAAACCTGCTCTCCAGTACAGCACATGGACTTGATTCCAAGCATGATCTAAGAAAAATAACAGGGCGACCTAAAACCTAGGTAAAGTGACTAAAATTGAAGTTCAAAACACTTTTTGTTCCTCCACTAAGCAGTTCATATTCTTGCTGGTCCTTTGAGTTATTACAGAATTTATGCTTTGTCCTCCAGGTACTATTGTTGCCTTTGACACACAAATCTGCTTCTGAAGGATGGTGTCTATTATTGCACAATATAATTCTATTATTGTTGGTCATAAAAAAATATCTTGCAGAACCTCAAAAAACTGAGCACACTCCACTGATAAATTGCCTAACACATTCAAGATTATTACATGCTTTCAAGTTTAATAGATTATAATGGCAGATTTCCCAACTCCCAGAAAAATGTGCTAGCCTGAAGTACAGTTAAAATTCATACCTTAGAATATTTGTTTACTTAAAAATCTTACCACAATTCAAGACCAAATGAGACATCGGATTCAAGGCTGATGGAGAAACAGTTCATAAATGCAGAAAGATTTCAAAGATATTTGGGATCACCTAATTATATAATTTTTCAATTTAAGAAAAAAATGTTAAAATTTCCTTTTGCTGGGGTCTGATACAAACCCAGGAATGAACCTTCTATATCCCAGGCTAGCACATTCATTTAAGAGGTTAAGTATTTTGAGCTATCTTGTGTGAGTAATTAATGTATGGTAATACTAAGCTTTTAATTTAGACAAACACATAAGACTTGTAAATTCCAACAGTGAGTCATGAGGGAAAGGGGGCAAGATATCTTCCCCCCACTCCCCTAATCAGACAATAATTTATTTCCTTCTTCAAACCTCTATTGTCAGCAATGATTTTTTATTTTTAAAGATGCCGATAGTTTAAAAAGTAAAAAAAATTAAATACATCTATATATATATATGTATCTATAGATATATATATCTATATATATCTAACCCTCCCAGACATTTAAAAAGATAATAAACATGAGCTCTGATTTTATTACCAAGCATTATTAAAGAAATATTCAAATTCTTTACAAAAAAGCACTGCCTTTTTTCTGTCTATGGGCAACCCTTGGCATAATAGGGGCCGCTCCACAGTTGTATGCATCTAAATATAAATATGTGAATAAGTAAGGTTTTTTAAATTATGTATTTCATATTTCATTCAAACTTGGCTTTGTTAGATAAATCAGTCTGGTGGAATGGAATTTTGTTGTCAAACAAATAGTTATTTTCTCTGGAGTTTGCAATGGACAACAAACTCATCTATGTTAACATATGAGAGAGCATCATTACCCTCTGAATTCTCATACATTTCAACAGACCAACACATATCTAATAAATATATTTAAATATTCTATTATCAGACTATCATGTGTATAGTACTTTTTGTTGACATGGTGAAGCTGGTGAACTTATTTTTACCACAGAATAGGCCATATTCTGTCAACCTAAAAAAACAGTGACATGATCCAAAAAAACCATGAAATGGCCTTTAAGCTTTGTTGCAATAAATAACTCCATTAATAATGGCTGATAAACATGCAAATTATTCTCTACAGTCAGTTCGGATTTATTCAGCAAACAAGGATAGCAGTACTGCTGAGAACTATACAGTTGTGAATTAATCACAATATATTTTATCTCTATATCACTGAAAAATGCTCATATTAATATAATGAAAATTCATAATATTGATTTAAGTGTATTAAAGTGACATCTTCATCTACAATACATAATTATATCAGTAGATACCTTCCTATGGAAAGGGAACAAGTGACACTGATTTAAGAATATTTTGGTTTTAAATTATAAGCAATGTAATAAACAACTTTTGCCCACTTTGGACTTCTTGGGAAATGTTTTAGACTGAACACAGGACAAGTGTATACTCATTTCAAAACAAACAAACCCAACCCCACAACAAAAAGCCCACCAAACCCCCCATTTTTTCTTAATTCACCAGCTTAATTTAAAAATAACTCCTGCAGATATCCATCTTTGCTTTGTATTTTATCAGCCATATTATTCATCTTCATAGGTCAGGAGCTTACATATAAATTCTCTAGTCTAACATAAAATATGCATTTAGTCATGGGCATCTTCAGAGAAGACTTGCAGTGTCCCACAAAATTAACTAGAAAAAAAAAATAGACCCACTAAACACTCCAAACTTTTCACTCTCATTTCTGTGACAACCATCACAACTACCTGATCCTACACATACAGATGTGTCCAGCAACTCTAAGCTTCACACAAGGTCCTGTTAGGTTCCTCCTGGATGCTTTCAAAAATGTGAATGACAGCAACAACCTCACTGATATTTGTGAGTGAAAGGCAAAACCAGAAAAGCTCTGCTAGGAGAACATGCAATACCAACTCTTCCTCCTAAAAGATTCAATCCATCACAATTTCTTACTCAGTACCCACCACCAACTGTCTTATCACTTTATTGATGGTATACAAACTCTACACAGTTCTTTAGTGTGGTATTACCTCACATGCCGTGAAAGAATTATATCCAAAATTAAGGCAAAAAAAAGGGAAGTGTTACATGCTTCTCCAATGTATCAATTCCTTATTGCACGGTATTCCTTTGTAAGTGGGAAAACAGGGCTCCTCATAAGTGACTTTTTTCTTGTGTGCATCCTTGTGCCCAAGGAAAATGCTAATACTTTACAGAAGAGGTAATTCTGGAACTGCCATCCAAGAAAAGAAAGCATTAATTGCATTATTTAAGGAAAAGTTTCCAACACTCTTTCAAACACAAACTCTAAAGTACTATCAAAAAAAGCCTCTCTACTGGGGCAAATAGACAAAAATCTACATAAACAGGTTCCTCCAATCAGGTTATACATTATGTGGCTGAAAAATGAGCTACACCCACAATAATTTTGCAAATAAATATAACTGTGGTTGTTTTAACTCCAAAGATTTCATCTTTGAAAGGATACCATAGCTCTAGGTTTGCACACTTTATTCCAAGAATGCAAGAAACACTAATCTTTACTTTTCAGTGAAAAAATATCCCTCTATTCAAGTCATACTTATAGGAACACTTAGCAGAGGTGATATTCAGTGTAGCATCATAAGCATAGTCCTCATCTCCCGAAGGCAATGAAAGGGTTTATGATTGATATGTCTTGTCAGCAAAGCAAAGGAAAAGAAAACAAACCCAGGTGAGAAAACTGTAGTCTAAATCATTAATTCTTCTTCAAGCACAACTGTATTCAGGACCAAGAATAGTTATTCTATATTTTCCAGAACCAGATTAAGCAATATGAAAAAGGATAATGAATAAAATCCTTGTAAGAAAAGGATGCTGAAGAATAGAGTGGGAAGAATCCCACTCACAAAAGAAACTGTAATTGAAAAAAACCTCTGAGAAGTAACACTGTTTCCCCATGTGAGGGGAGGAAAAAAAATCACAACAGACAACAAAGGAGAAAAACAGAGACTTCAGATACTACTTCACTCTTAAAAATGGTTGTACAAATGCAAAAAAACCCCCAAAACCTACCAATGCAAAAGTGGCCCCAATCAATTACTTCAAGTCTAATAAATGTGAATCTAAAGAAACTACAAAAGTTTGTTAAGATTTAGCTTCAATTTGTCGATGCAAAACTATGGTGATGAACTGTTGTAACAAGTAGTTCAGTCTAAAATCTCTCCTCTTGCCATTTTGTGCTTTTGCAACTTGAATAAAAAAACCCAAAGCCCAAAATACCCACAAATAAAAACCCAACAGATTCAGGGGGAAAAAAGCTTCCACAAATATGAAGTCAAGGAATTTTCTAAGGTAAAAAGTTAGATCACTAACTTTTCCATTCTCACAATACAAAAAATTGGGTAAAAAACCCTAAAACTTGGTCCAGTTCTACAGCCATATGTTCACATGTCCAGTTCTACAGCCATATGTTCACATTATTTTGATATTATATGTTGATGAGTCCAGTAAATGGAGGCAAGACTGAAGGCAGTGTCAGAAATCCATTTAAATATATATGTTTATTTAAATATACATATTCCTGACGGATAGACTGTCCATAACAGCATCTGTCTTTAGAAAAATAAAATATTTATTATTTTAGGACTTGCATTTAGTAAGCTCTAATCTGCAACACTACTACCCCTATAGCAAGGCAATTTGTTTTTATTAAAATTCATCCGTAATTTAAAAGTGCTTTGAAGCGTGTTCCAAAAACATAGAAAAGAGTCTGAATCTTCCACCACCTTCCAATAAACATAAACAACTACCACATTTGAACAAGAACGTAACACAAGACACGGGCAGAAACACTCAAATAGGTAAAAAGAAACTTTCTAAGAAGTCAATCACTGCACTACCCAAGGTATGACGTTAACCTGAAACCCACACATGGGTTAGTAATGGGAAACAAATACATTTGTTCTGACTTAGCATGTCTTTGGCAAGCTGGGTTTTCAATAGGAATTTTATGAATGTAGAGCATAACCCAGGCTGAGATGAAAGATGAAGCTGTCACCTTGTTTTTGTTTCTACAAGCTAACATCCGTATGTTCATGGCACAAGTCTGTAAGTCCATGAACTTTGTTGCTGGTTTCTAACACGCCCAGTGCACTGCAATTCTCATCAGTACCAATACAGTATTTTGGCACCCAGCAGCTGCAAGTGCACACGATGTGAAAAAGCTTGTCATAATACCTGGCTTTTAAACACTACCTGTACTCTTCAATCTGAAATTTTACACCCAGTTTGAGCTATTTATTTTCTCCTCTCAGTCACGAAACAAATTTAGAGCAATAAGATCTTGTAAAAGATGTCTTTAATGTTCTCACAGAGGAACATTCTGCTGCAGTGCTTTGGCTGCAAACACTGCAGAGGAACTGTAAATAAAAAGCTAATTTCTACTGGAATTAGAGAAAACATGGGAGATAGCCCCTTATAATGGAGTATCTCATAAAGCCACATTTGAGATCAAATAGAGTTTGAAAGAAATCAACAAAAGGAATGTGATTGTTTATTACTCCGTCCCAGAGGATCTTGTCATAAAACGAACAGTCATCAGGAACAACTCTCTTCTGAACACTGCATCAGCCCACAGCGACAGGGGAGGGAAGTGGGGGGCAGGAAACGGACAAGGATTCTCTCACAGAAGACAATCAAGGTTGTTTGCGGGAAAATGAAAGGGTTTGTCTTCGATAAATAAGCGAGGATTTCACAGAAGCGGTGACAGGACCCGAGGAGAGAGCCAGGCTGACACGGTGCTACCGCCTGCGCTCGCTTGACCCCGGCAGGAGGGCCGGAGCCTCCTGCCCCGGGACGGTTCAGCCCTTCCCCGCACCTGGGCGGCGAGTGATCGGGATTTGGGTGTAAACCCCCGAAACAAACACACACACACACACACACCGCCCGCACACCCACTCACCCAAACACAGCGCACCCCCCACGCCTCCCGGCGGGCCTCGGCGGCCGGCAGCGATCCGGGGGCGACCCTCGCGTTCCCCGCCGGGATGCGAGAGGCGCCGCTCCGCCACAGCCCGGGGAGACGCGGCCCCCGACCTGTCACGGCCGGTGCAGCCCCCGCTGTTGGAGGGGCGGGGGCAGGTCGTGCCCCCCACAGCCAGGGACGGCGATGACCCGCGGCCCCACCCCCGGCGCGGAGCTCGCCGACGTCTCCGCAGCCCCGCAGCCCTCTGTCCCGGCTGGCCCGGGAATGACGGCGGCGCCGCGCACTCCATCCGCCGCCGGCAGCCCCGCAGGAAAAGGCGAGGCGTCCCAGCGCCCGGCAGCGCGGCGCCAGGCCGGGGAGCGACGACGCGAACTCTCCCCGTTCTCACTCACCGGCATCATCTCCGCAGCCTGCTCCACGCCGGGCCCG